CTAACAATGTACCGGCAGCCGCCGGTAATACAGAGGCACGTAGAACGCCTGTTCAGCAAAGGACCTATTCTACAATTGTTAAAGAGCAAGCGGAAATTGACAACACGCCGTCCAAACGCCAGGGAACGTCATCTATGCCTGTACACTTTCCGTCGTCGGTGTGCAACCAGCACCCAAAACAGCAAAAGAACTACAACAGAAGAACACGTAGGTACCACGTACATGACATTAACAAACAACAGTCATCTGAAAGTGGCATGCGCGATTACCTTTATGAAAAAAACGTCACTGTGACATTCTTGCAATACTTCGAGAGAAGCTGGAAAAGAACTGCATCAGCACAAGTGAACGTTTTTGACGATGAACACAACAAGCTGCACGATCAATCCTTCTGGCCTGACGGTGTTAGTGTTCGTCCATGGCTACCCAGAAATGTCTTTACAAACGATCATGAACAAAATGTGTAATAACCTCACCATAATGTGCTGGAACATTAAAGGGATAATGTCAGGTACACCATATTTGTTAAAGTGTTTGGAAGACCGTAAAATTGATGTTTGCAGTCTCTCAGAACATTGGATAAGGGAATATCATTTGTCCTTTTTTATACCTTCATCCAATCCGGTTATTTATGCATTATAAAAACCAGTCCAAGAGGTACACCCGTTTCGGTATAAATGCAATATTAGAGCTGGCGTTTGCATCCTGTACAAATCTAGTTTAAGGGTTCAGGAAATTACTATAGATTGCCCTTGAATGGTTGGCATGGAGATTCAGGAATCTGAACGTAATTACATCCATGTTTTTTTCGGTATACATGCCTGCATCATTAAGACACTTAGATGTTTTCAAGGAGACTATAGATAGATTAGAATCTCTTGTATCCGTATATTCAGGAAAAGGAGGGTTATTATTATTGGAGACTTTAACGTGAAAATTAATGGCCCACGTTATCATTTTCCCAGTAACGCGAGATCAGGTGATTTTGAAACTTTTCTTAGTAGAAATAATTTAGTATCTGTTAATGTCCAAGATGATTGCTGTGGGCCTGACAAGATGATTGCTGTGGGCCTGACAAGATGATTGCTGTGGGCCTGAATACACTTTCTGTCCTGTCTCTGGCAACTGTACAAAGATAGACCATATTGTTGTTGAAGGTGGTATGTTAGATTTGGTAAGAAAATCTGAAGTCTTAGATGATGGTGGAAACTCATCAGATCACCTCCCAGTCTATTGTATTATCGACATTCCCACAGTAATGCCAAATATAACTGGCGGAAAGCATTGAATTATGGTCAAATTAACAATTACAAGTTTATTGTAGAGTCTGAGCTCAGTTAAATTACTGTTCCAAAAAAATCAAATCGAATGACGAGATTGACCCAAATATGAAAGTTTGAAAAATGTTTTATTAATATTGGAACAAACAGATTCACAGCAAAATATTGTTTTAAAGGAAATTGTGGAAAGATAACGGTTAATGTAGGGGTAATGACGTTTACTTTCTAGATTGAAAAGTATGCAAAAGTATTTTTAGAACTAAACTTAGGAGTGCTTTCAACGAGTATATGAGTCGGCAATTTGATGAAATTGATCAGTCCGGTGAAGTTGATCAAACGCTATTCTGGCAGTGATATAAAAGTAAATCGTAAATGCATGGGATAAACATTTTGGCAAGCTTTTTGAAAGTGAAAGTAACGAAATGTTTGATGATAATACTTTCAATCATGTTCAAAATGATATATTGACAATTAAGGAAAACATCAAAACTGACTAAGATACCCTTCTAGAAAATGAGTTTACATTTGAAGAGGTTTATTCGATATGTAAAGGTCTTAAAACAAAAATGTCAGGTGGTCCAGACGGTCTTGTGTAGGAGCATGTTAAATACTGTAACAGTTCACTTGTCACACATATAACATATCTTTTTAATCTTATTGTTAAGTATGAATATATTCCAAAAAATTGGGCACGATAATTACACTGTACAAAGGTAATCGGAAACCGAAGGACGATCCAAACAGCTACAGGGGCATAACATTAATTCCTGCATTTTTCAAAATATTTGAGTCATTGTTGTCTACCCGTTTAGGTGCAGTCCTATAGTCAAACTCATTTCCAAACCGGCACCAGTCAGCCTATCGCAAAAAATTATGTTGTTTGTGTACGTCCTTTAATTTATAGGAAAGCATCAATTATAATCTAGACTATGCAGCCGAAGTGTTCGTTGCCTTTTAAGATAGTAATAAAGCCTTCGATTGTGTCTGGCAAGACGGGCTATTCTATAAGCTTTACAACTTGGGTATTAAAAGGAGAACGTGGAATATTATGTACCAGATGTACTTTCATTTTACCAGTCGAGGCGTTTTCAACGGTTTTAATTATATAACTATGAAGCGAGGGATTTTACAAGGTGGGTCGTTATCTGCGATATTGTATTTTGGTTTTTATAAATGATCTGCTAAATAATGTCGAATCTAGCGGAAAAGGGTCAGTAGTGTTTTCCTCACGTGTCAATATACCCACACAAGCCGATGATATATGTCTTTTTAGTAACAACGTTTACAATTTTCAGCATTTACTCTCAGTTTGTGAGTCATAGAGCCGAAAGTGGAGACTTACTTTTTCTTCCGCTAAATCTAAGATCCTTGTTTTCACTTAAAAAAATCAGTCAAGTGCATCGTGTGATGTGACTCTGTATGGTTCGAAATTATCAATTGTTGACAGTATTACACATGTTGGTGTTTTGTTGAACAGCAAAAATAATAATATCGAACGCACAGAACGCGCTTGTTCTAAGTTGAAGTGTGGAGTAATGTCTTTGATTCGTTCTGGGGCACATCCATATACGCTCAATCCTCTTACTACTGCAAAAATAGTAAAGTCTAAAGTTTACCCTTCAGCATTGTATGGTTGTGAATTGTGGCAATTAAAGCAAAGAGAAATTTATATGTTAGAAAAGGCACAGAATTTCATTGTTAAATCAATTCAAGGTTTCAATTTAAGAACTAGAACGGACATGTGTACATCTTTGCTTGGGTGGTTTTCGATTGAAGTATATATCAGTATAAAGAAAATGCAATTTCTTGGTAGAATTTGTTTAATGAATGTAGGTTATTTAACACGCGAGATTTTTTATTAAACGGTTATTTGAATTCAGTCTGATCCATTTTAGTAGAGGAAATTGTGCCTGATATTGTTTATATTCTAAAAAAATACAATTTGTACGATGTTCTTAGTGAATTAATGAAAACTGGTTTATTTCCTAACAAATCACAACGGAAGATTTTAATTAATGGTCATGTTAGAAAATATGAAGAAACTAGATTATGTGGAAGAATGTACGTAGATCGTGATTTTTCTCGATTTATTCTCTTACGTTACACTATACATCCTTCCCCGGTTTGGAAACTTGCTCTACGTTTTCCACAACATGGTGTTTATATCAAACGAATTGTTAAACTAAACATTGAAATGTGCGAAAATGAAAATACTTACCTGTGTCACTACTGTGGCTTCATGTATAAAGATGTCATTATTCATAGCGTGCTCGAATGTGCTCACACTGAGAGTTTACGAGACCAGCTCTGGTGCTTACTCAGCACAGTGAAAGACATAAATTTGGTAGGTTACCTTAATGAATTGTCTAACTATCAATTAATACATGTTCTTCTCGGGGGTATTATCAACTGCGATATATCCCCATTTGAACTAGAGGATTTTAGAATAAACTCAATAATTTTCATCATCAGAATCCTACAACATTATCATGCTATTTAATTGTAATGTTTGGTCATTTCGACTTCAAAATGAAATATTCGTGTCTTAAATCCTATGGTTGTAATAAGTATTGGATTTAACTGTAAGGATTAGCTTAAATAATTTTATTTTCTTAACTTTAGGAGTTGTTGTATATATATATTTTGCATACGTAAACTCTGTGTCTATTGTTTACATTGTAGTAATTTAAATGTTTCTTATGTGTATACGTGTGTACAAACGCACAATCATTTTCTGCAATGTCAATGTATATATGTTCTTTTTGTATAACTCTTCACATTTGGAGGAAATAAAAGAAATAATAATAATGGAGGGTATATTTTTCAATATTGCCAGCTTAACATTGTTTCGAATACGATGTACATGTATTATATAATCTGTCGGTTACTGTAAATAATTAGATAATGACTTTTAGTTTCAACACAAAACTTCCTGTTAAAACCAAAATTCAACCTCTAATCTCTAGTGTATGCATAAAAACAAGCATACCCTCCCCTAATTGATCATAAAAAATACCCAATGAAGAAATGCGTTACATAACAATTAGTTTAGAACGCAATATATTATATACGTCTTGGTTTACGACATTTTTTTTTATTAATTCCAGAGCAATATTCACATATGTCTAAATATTTTGCAGAATATTTGACCTTTAAATCACTGCTTCAAAATGAATCAATCCTGGATAAATTTTCTGTACGATTTGTGTTTTTTTTTTATGTTAGAATGCTTTTTTGACCCTGTTTCTATGATTATACTGACACCTGTTAACCGGCCAGATCATGAAGTCATTTCGCCACGGGCGATAACTATGATATTTTCTCATGACTGTCACCGATAGATGTCGCACAGTGAAAGCAGGAAGTCGCATGCTGTTTGTTTTCATATTGGACAGGTGCAAATCAACAACCAAACGTAGTAATCACAGGTGTGTTAAGATATATTCTTCTGCTTGGTGGACACCGTGACCAACAGATAAACATATCGGAATTAAGTTTTGTCTTCAATATAGTTGATCGCCCGACAGAAGACCTTCGAAGCGGATGAAATATTTCTGAAATGATATCATTTCGCTCCTGCCCGAGAATGGCCAGGGGAGATTTTGTGATCAGCTGTTTTGTTTAAGACCATTGCACAAAGTTAGAATTTCTTACTGTCGCAGTACAAGTCCTGTGTCAGTGGCACTTGTTTGAGGGAGTTTCTTCGGAAATATTTACAAGATGTCTTGGAATCCGACACATGTTCAATTTACAGGTAAATTTACGTGTGTGTAGCTGTGTATTGTGTGCGTGTTAGGTTATTTGTTGATGAATGACCTTATCCGTCTTTCACACCTCGAATGTCTGATATTGACATGACTGTGTGTAGAAGTATTTATCTGGTATAAAGAGACACATCATTATACTCTAATAAGGTTTTATGAAACAGTGTAAGTACTCTTTGACATATGCATTGTGTATAACTGTACAATGTCATGTACACATAACATTGAGCAGATGAAGGGGGTGTGTCCGAATGAGTTGCGCGGAATGAGGTTATCACGGCCGAGAGTGTAAGGTTACATTGATGATTAATGGGTCTAGAGTCATAATCTTGCTTATAATTACATTAGATATTAATTAATGCTAGTATTGAAACTTATGGCTTGAAGGACTGTGATGATTTAATTGAATTAAAGCAGAATAATAATGACAGTAACTATATACAATGTGTAACCTTTACAGGTTTTAGGAATGAATTCTGATGAGTAACTGGTGTTAGTGTATGTTCACAATGTGTAACCTTTACAGGTTTTAGGAATGAATTCTGATGAGTAGCTGGTGTTAGTGTATGTTCACAATGTGTAACCTTTACAGGTTTTAGGAATGAATTCTGATGAGTAGCTGGTGTTAGTGTATGTTCACTGATACTAATTTATACATGTAATGGTTATGCATCTATACAAGATTTTTGTAAAATGTCATATGTCACCAAAATTTAAAGAAAATTCTCATAATTTTTTCACAACGTGATATTTCATACATAGAAAAAAAAAGAGTTTCTTGTGTTTGCAGACTGTTTTTTATTTGATCAATTTTGGAAAGAATAAGATCAATGGTTAAGGATTATTTGTTACAGCTTAAAGTTGCTCCTTTTAATTCTGTTTAATATAACGTTTTAAGAAAAAAATGTATTAAATATAATCAAATGCACAATATTGTATGTTTAAGGTTTAAATTTGGTATTTTGTTAAACATATTATCAACAGCTGGTGTAATTTAAGAATGACCTCCCAGAGTATGTGGGATGAAATGCTTTTTATGGGAGACTGTGATATGTTCCTGAAACCCTCCTTGTGATTGTTTGGAACTCAAATGCAAGGCAATGAAAAAGGAGACATAAGCAAGAGAAAATTCTTTAGCAAAGAGAGAAATCATAAAGAACATCCCGTGTTTATATAGTCACCTTGACTCTTGCAATAGAAACAGATGGTAACCACCTGTAGCATTAGACATGTACATGTACGAAGTATTTATGTGTGTGTGATGAATATATAGCATGATAAAGACTGGGGGAGATGTACTGTAACTATCTACATCATTCATTTGTATGTTTATTATATTAATGTTTTTTGTTCAATTATTTTATTTGTTATAGTTTTGCGCGGACGGAATTTGTTAACAAAAGGCAAGGGAGGTAAGCACAATATTTCAGGAGAGAAAGACAAAAAAAAAAACAGATTTGAAAATCTACATTTAGTACAATTTTGAATTCTTTGATAACTTGTCATATTTGATTAAAACATATCATTATGGCAGGCTGTTTTGCTGTTCAGTACAAAGTTTGTAGAATGATTTACAATGGATTATATTTATAAATTGAAAAAAATAAATCAAATTCATCATTCCTGAAAATGCTTTGTCATTGTCTAGAGGACTGTTATTCTTGTACTTGGTCAGCAGAACCTGTAATATAATGGCAATTTATTACAAGTCCACTTGTCCAGCGTAGCATACATGTATGTTGCTTAAAGCTGTTATCTAGACTTTCATGGATAGAAAAACGCAAAAAATTAAAAGGAACGATTAAATTAGACTAGTGGTTTTCAACTTGCATGGGCTTTGTCGTCAAAGATAATTGGTGCTATGAATTTTTTAGTAAACTGATACATCAAAAAGGTCTGTTATATTGGTAGATTATTGCATCATTAATACTCCAGCAGTCCAGGTTTTAAGATAATATTTGCTCTCTGCACCCCTGGAATGTATACATATCATGGTAAAATTGGAGGTTCCAGTTGCGACACCTTGTGGAGATGACGAGAAGGCTAGTCTGATCCACTTATGTACACAAACAAATCTTAAGGTAGCAGAATGGTATGTTGTACTGGCTTTGAAGCTGGATGTCACTCCATTGTAATCTTCATGAAAGATTATCTGTCCATGATTGGTAAGTTTTTTCATTTGGATGCTGCTCTAGACCAATCATATTACTTTGCTTTTGTCTTCAATTTTGCCAGGAAATGTGCCAAAGGTACAGAGAGCGACTATGAGTGTAAATCCTCGAGTATTTAGGACGAAATAGCTGGTGACGTAAAGGGATTGTAAAAAAGTTAGTCAGTTCGAACATTTGCCTAGTAACCTGGGGTGAAGATCTTGAGATGTATAGTATGATGCTGCCTACCCATAGTGGTTTGTATCTTATAGGAAGCTATCAGATGGAATGGTCTTTGTCACTGAACCTTGACACTAATTGTAATGCCCTTGATGGCATTCATTAGGCTACCTATATCTTGTTTAGTGAGGTAGTCACCATCTTACTCTGCCTGAATATGACTCTGGCTGTTCATGGACCTATAAAGTCATCAGTCAGACATAATCTGACTTAACACATACCATTGATTCATTGATTTTAGGGATGAAGTTGACAGATGTCTTTGTGTCAATCTTACTGGGCAAGGAAAAGTTTCAGACATCAACCATCAAAAATGCTCTGAACCCTGAATGGTTTGAACAGTGTGACTTGTAAGTATATAATTGAAATTATATAATTATACAAATCTGATGTGGCAGCTCACTGGTGTTTGTGCCCATTTTTGATAAGTAATTGACTGTAGTCAAGGGAGTTAACAAAGTGACAATCTATATACTGTATTCTAATAATGGTAGTGCCAGTTACAGGATTAATTTTGATCAGCATGTGAAAGGAATTTCTTTTGTTTATATTGAATCAAGGTGTTGACCAGAATGTCAAAATCAGATAATTCACTGTCAACATTTTAATGCATGACACATAGATGTTTTTATCATGAAACACTCCATGAGGGTCATTTTCATGACAAGGTCAAATGTTTGTTGGCAGTTGCTTGACACATATCATAATTAATGCACCAATGTATATGTTATAGACATGTAAACCTACATGTGCTTTGTTCCGGTTGAACATATACTTGTATTGAATTGTCTAATGACTTAAAAAGGAGGTAATTGAAGTCTTAATTGTATACAAGTTTACTAGTACATGATTGTTTACGCTGTGTAAAGCTGATCAAGATTTTACTGTCTGACTGTAAAATATCTTAAATGTGTTAAACTAAGATGTGGAATAAACAGTGAAATATTAGCCCAATTTTAAAGCAAGCTTCAGAATATATAGACAAGATGATTTAATAAAATTCTTGATACATGGATCAATTTGACGATGTATAGACAAAAACATAGAAACAAGATGCCATTTTTTAAGATTTCAATAATTAGTTATTAAACAATAAAAACAAAACGAAAACAAAAAACACTTATAAAAATTGTGTTTGGCTGTATACATCTGGTTGTAAATCATATCATTGTCATGTTATAGTATGTGGTATAAAATGAGCTGTCATATTTTATGATCATGAGTGTAAAGTAAGATTTTATAACATATTAGAAGCATCTATACAGTTAATGTTATTGTAATTAGGTCACAACTGAGGCGTAATTTTAACCTTTGCTATGTAAATAACTCTATAGTTGTTCATTCTGATGATGGCTAGCCTAGCTATCAGATATATGTGAACTAATAATAAAACCATGAAATCCAGATGTTGATGCTCCACCTTCTGGTCATTTGAAATACAGTATACATGTACATTATAGATTTATATGTAGATTTACTTTATTTTCATTTCTTGTGGTCAATTAAATCTGAATTTTTAGGTGAATCTGACATGTCTGTTTCCTAATCACTGGATGGTGGGAACTGACATTTTATGTCATTGGAACTAAATGTGAGAGTTAATGTCAAGCTTAAATTGGCAGACAATTTCACACTGTGCTATTCAATATCAAATGGTCTTATTTTCACATCCAATTTAAAAAAAATGTAAATATAACTTACAACAACACAATACTTGCTCAGACTTTCCTATTCAGTTGCATCTCCGCATCAATTGTGTGAAGTTGTCACTAGTAAAACCTGGTGAAAATAAGAATGACAAATCACTACACTGAAACAACAAATATGTTAGACTGGTAAACATGTCTATTTTGACATGTAATTCGGAACACAATACATTGGTTGCTAACTTGTATAATCCAACTTCTCAATGTGGAACCCAATATTATATAGGTTGAAATGAGTTGTCTCATCAGACACCTTAATATATTTAGGACATAACATGTTGGTTGAAATGAGTTGTCTCATCAGACACCTTAATATATTTAGGACATAACATGTTGGTTGAAATGAGTTGTCTCATCAGACACCTTAATATATGTGGGACATAACAAGTTGGTTGAAATGAGTTGTCTCATCAGACACCTTAATATATTTAGGACTTAACATGTTGGTTGAAATGAGTTGTCTCATCAGATACCTTAATATATGTGGGACATAACAAGTTGGTTGAAATGAGTTGTCTCATCAGACACCTTAATATATTTAGGACATAACATGTTGGTTGAAATGAGTTGTCTCATCAGACACCTTAATATATGTAGGACATAACAAGTTGGTTGAAATGAGTTGTCTCATCAGACACCTTAATATATTTAGTCATAACATTGGTAAAATTATACAGGATGTTGTATTGTAAAACATCAGCTTAAACTTTAATGATGTATTAAATTGACAGGATGTTGGGAAATAGAGATTTCATTCTTAGCTTAAGTAATAAAATATATTGTGTCCAGTTTACAAGTTGGTCAAACAGTTTGTCAGAAACATAGGCTTTATTCAAATAAAGATTTCTTAAAAATATTTATTAATTAAGGGGTCAGAAACATAGGTTTTATTCAAATAAAGCTTTCTTAAAAGATAATCAAACAGTGTGTTAGATTCATAGGTTTTATTTAAAGCTTCTTCATGAATTAGGATATACACATAAGGTCCAGCATTATACATGTGTTGTATAGGGGTTAGAAATATACTGTATTCATTGTACATTGTACAGTAGAGTCTACTGGTTCTGTATTAGACAATCATCTTTGTTGTTTCAGTAGGAAATTACAGCCTCATAAGCAATTTGTGGTATTTTGACTCAATGTCAGTTAAATTTAAGGATTATATTTATAATATGAAACTTGATTTTATGCAATCATGACAGTATTTAAACATGGAACCATATAACACAGTTGTATTTCTGTTGCCTGGTTGGTGTCATAATTTATGACATCACACTCTTATATGTCGTTGAGTTCATTATATATATATATATATATTAAGTTGTAATATGCATTGTGATAAAAAAAATAATAAACCTACTCCATAGATATTGAATTAGACATCTTGAAAAAGACTGAGAGTTATTTCCCCTTGATTTTGATAGATCCATACTAGGTGGCATGGATCAGGATATTACAGTGACAGTGATGCATCGTGGGTTATTGTCTGATGATTTCATTGGTTACGCCACCATTCCGCTGTCAGATTACAAGGTTTTTGACAGACCAAAGAGTCAGTGAGTATATTGTATGCAGTACAATACAAAATATTCAATTTGTGAGGGAAAAAACTACAGATGTATCATCCTCAAAATCCAAGGGTCTAACCCCCCCTTATTGTTGTGCGCATCTTTGTTGGAAATTGTGTTACAACTGGTAATAAGCTCACCCATATTTATCGAAATTTAAGAAGACATACCAATAAATGCTGTATATTGTTGTCCAGTTATCCAGCTATAAGCCTACTTCCTGATTAGAGAGTGGTATATGTTATGCAGCCCCCTCACACACCCCTCACACACCCCCTCACACACCCCCTCACACACCCCTCACACACCCCCTCACACACTCCCTCACACACCCACTCACACAACCCTCACACACCCCTCACACACTCCCTCACACACCCCTCACACACCCATTCATACAACCCTCACACACCCCTCACATACCCCTCACACACCCCTCAAACACCCCCCTAACACCACCTCACACACCCCTCAAACACCCCCTCACACACCCCTCACACAACCCTCACACACCCCTCACACACCCCTCACACACCCCCTCACACAACCATTCATACAACCCTCACACACCCCTCACACACCCCTCACACACCCCTCACACACCCCCTCACACACCCCTCACACACCCCTCACACACCCATTCATACAACCCTCACACACCCCTCACATACCCCTCACACACCCCCTCACACACCCTTCCAACACCCCCCTAACATCACCTCACACACCCCCTCACACACCCCTCACACACCCCTCACACACCCTCTCACACACCCCCTCACACACTCCCTCACACACTCCCTCACACAACCCTCACACCCCCTCACACACCCCCTCACACACCACCTCACACACCCCTCAAACACCCCCTCACACAACCCTCACACATCCTTTCACACACCCCCTCACACACCCCCTCACACACCCCTCAAACACCCCTCACACACCACCTCACACAACCCCTCACACACCCCCTCCCACCCCCAACCTTGCTTCCCTTCTTTCCAGGTTTATTTTAGAATAGACTGTTAAATTCTTTGCTGTACATATTACTTTAGATGGGTAAAACTTCGTGGAAAACCTCATAAAGCGGCAGACAATAAGAACCGAGGAGAACTAGAGGTCAAGCTGACATTTCAAGTTAAAAATAAGGCACCGGAAGAGGCTAATCCAGCACTGAAGAAATTGTCTTCTAATTCCTTGAAGTCAATAGCATCAGCTGTTGGTAAGTTCTTTCTTGATACAGAGAAAATGACTTATCTGGTAGATTTTAATTACTATAATACCAAACCCCTTTGCATCTTTATACATCTTTGTTTGCACAAATAATTTTTTATGATATTTTGGAATTTTCACAGTAATACCATTACATAAATCAAATGAGGAAAATTGTTTATACCTTTAAGATTGACTGTTCCTCTCGATTCTTTTTCATACCAAATTTGTTGTTTTGGGCTTTACTTCAATCAAGTTATAGTTTACAAGATACAGCACAAATTTATGAAAGGAGTGTAAACAGAATTGGTATATGCACTGTATGTGTACATAGCTTCAGGAGAAGATCCCAGGTGTGTTCTCAGGAAGCTGAGAAACAGGCTGGTGTGATGACTTTGGGTAAGTCACTTTATCCTGATTGTTCAGGACAGCATGTGACAGACCTCCCATATTTTGTTCAGTAAGGTAGCTACCAGCTACTGTAAGAAAACCCTGCCTCAAAGTGACCCTGGCTGTTCAAGAGAAAACAAACCCAATGAACAAATAACAAACAACAAACATATTGCTAGCAAAATGTGATTTCAATTGATATCTTTATATTTTAGGTTTAAAAGTTGGTGACAAGTTCAAACGAAGTCGTTCCTTGCGGGAATCCCAGAATCCTTTGCAGCAGACAGCGGCTGATAAAAGAAGAAACAGCTCTGCATTTACTTCTGAAGGAGGACGTATTCATGTGAGTCCTTGGAAATATGTGTAATTCCACTGGATACAGTAGATTGGAGTAGAATTGAAAGATTTGGTGTGATCATGTCACTTAAACATAATGTTTAAATGTAAATGGAAAGTAAAACTGTATGTAGGAATATTTAAAAACAGGACGAATACACATAGGACATATGGGAAACACATACCAGGGTACTCATATGTTCACAACAGATGGATAGTATCACATTCAGCTCAAATAACACCATTTTGTTATTTATCTTTGTACAGATCGTTATTGATTATAAATTACATAAAAAAAATTTTGAGTGAAAAGATTCATGAAATTTAAATTGATAAATCTTCATGAGAAATGATCAGCTTTAATGTGCTAAAATAGAAGTGTGGTTTCCATTCATAACGTAGAAAGTCTTACCAGTTCTTAGCTTGGCATTAAATGCTCTAAACAACAGCTGGTGGTGTAGATGATCTGTCTACAACCTTCTTGGTTGGCATACAAGATTTTTCAGTCCCTTATTGATGAGACCAGGAAAGCTTTAGTTTTCTTCTCCATCCATACGTCCTGCATCTGTGAAAGTTTATGTCAGCACTCTACCATTTCTTGAGGGATTCTCATCAAACGTCACACATTTGTTAAGAACATCAAAATATCTTGGACAAATTTGAGAGGAATGGTATTTGGACCAAGTTCAAGGTCACTGTAACTGTTTTTAGAAAATCATTGTTGGCACTCTAGCAGCACCAGTCCTTTTGAGATCCTTATCAAATTTTACAAACTCAAGGAGCATCAAATTATCTTAGAAAAGTGTGAGTTTTTGGGTCAAGGTCAAGGTCACTGTTACCATTTTTAGAAAATTCATAAATCATTACAATGTAAAAGCCTATAGAGGAGAGGGTTGGGGGAATGTTCTGTAGCGGTCAGGTGTTGATTGAGTATTACTCTGTGTGCTTGTTGTACAACTACAGTCCACATAACATAGTTTTCCTAGCATTATTTGAGTCCAAATAATTAATAGATAAATCAGGCCGAAATAAATAAAATTTGTTTATTCATTACAATGTACGTCTTTAAACATTAAATAACACAATGTACGTCTTTAAACATTAAATAACACAATGTACGTCTTTAAACATTAAATAACACAATGTACGTCTTTAAACATTAAATAACACAATGTACGTCTTTAAACATTAAATAACACAATGTAGGTCAACGTATATTATTTTCTATACAATGCAGACTTAACAAGGACTTTGCATATTTTTGTCTTTAACATATAGATATACATTTTCTAATATTTAAATCTAGAAAAAATGCTATTGATAGTTAGAATTCTAAATCAGTATACCTGTATATATACATATATATATATATATTTATATGCTAATTGCATTGTAGCTTTATATACATCATATATATATTCTATGCATGAAGAATATATCCTAGATTGTATATGTGCATGGAAAACATACTCCTTCCTGTGTATATCAATATCATATATTCTGTTCACTGTCATGAACCATTTTCAATTAATAATCCTATTTTGATTTTTATGATTTTTGTTTTGTTGTATATAAGTGTAATTTTTTATCTAAAACTTGTGAACTCACATTCAGCTTTATATTTTTGTAAAACCAAACATATAGTCATGATAAATCTTAAAGTAAGTAATAAAAGATTCTGGTTATATTGTACATATATGCATAAGTAATTTTCAAAGTTGTGAAAGATAATGAACTTATGAAATTTTTAACGCAATTATTTCTGTCCAGAAAAGAATTAGAATTTGTTTGTGTCACAGTGTAAACCCGTGATAGATAACACTATGTAATGCAGTGTAAAACACCAAAGGTCAAAAATACAAAGTGAAAGAGTTTATTCATGCACACGTGTTAGTCATGTATTTGTCTTTCCTTATTACCAAAGTAATTAATATTATTTTTCAAGTTGCTGATAAAAAATTATGAGGCTTAAAGCAAAACCTTCATAATTAGTGACAAATGTATGAAACCTGTGTGTCCAAATATCTGTAATTATATCAAAAACAAATAAGATAAAAGTTCAGGTGATGATTCAGCCGTAATTAACTTGTTCAAACTTAAAGTGTTTTAATTTACCACTTCATACAGTCGTCCAAATACTTTTTACAACAATGACTCTTGCAGTCGAAGGGCCGTTAGATGGCAATCATTCAATGACTTGTTCTTGTATAATTCATACATATTCAAATATACATTTCTAAAATCATGATTTGCACTAACACGTTTGTCCATGCTAACCATGTTTGTTTTAATCTTGATTGTGTTGTCCAGGCTAATAACCTTCCATCTTCCGTAACTATTGATGGCTCCACGAAACTCAAGGGGGCAGCACGATCTGCCTCTGTTGACGGCGCTAACTTCCCAGCAGTAGATATCCCCCCACCTCAGTGGGACGATTTATCAGTGGTCAGTATATACATAAAATGTTTAGTTTTCATGGTAACTCTTTAGGAATATGGAGGCAGAAATAAGCATTGTTGTCATGGTTACTAAAACAGCATTGTCATGAAATAAAAAACTCTTTTTATTGTGAAATATTCCCGTCGGTATGTTCATAAATGGAATATTGTCCTTAAATTGAATTTCTTTTAATTAAAAAATTTGATATTGATTATAAAGGGAAAAAAGTACCTTCAGAAATTATGTAGGTGATTAAAAACAAGATTTATTTTTAATGCATGTTGATTTTTTATTTTTTATTCATTTTTTTTTCAATTCTATTTGCATGATATCGATAATACTTTATGAACTTGTAGAATGTTTGCTTTGCATTTCTTCATTTCCTTAATTTTCTAACTACATGTGAAAGTTCGCTTCAAAAAATTTGATTAGTTTTTACTATATACATATAGTAATGATGTGGTGATTGGTTAATTAGTAGCTTGCTTAATTAGTTAAGAACTGTCAGTGTTTAACTTATCATAAAAACATAACACTTAAATATTTCTATTTATATATTGTTTGCTAATAGACTAAGATATATTCATTTTACGTATATGTGGTGTGTATGTGGTCGACTGTTTACATTCTTATTAATGTTGGTTGTTGTGATATTTTGCATCAGATTTCAGCGTTCAACAATTACAGTTTCATTTTAGTTATATAACTTTGTAATATTACCTATATACATATATTCTGGTTTACAAATCTTTTACAGTTTATCGAAGAAATTGTTTAAAAACATTAATTAATCAATGTAATATTGCTTTATCATATATACTTATATATTGAAGTTAATTACTATAACCAACATATCACTGGTGAAGGTCAGTGTGTGTAATGTTGTCAAGCATCTTGGTTTTTCTTTCTCCAGATTTTCAGCACAATTAAAATCCCTAATAGTTATGATCAAAGTTTGACTTTATGCATGCAACTTGTTCATTGTTTGTCTTACCTGAACTGGTGCTAGGAAAAATCATGTGTATGTAATGAAATTCTTGTTTAAAATTACCCACCAGTTCATCATGAGGTATGTTTAATTGTTGTAAAGATCAGATAATGCAGATTTTGTTAAATTTCATAACATCATGTTAATTCTAATCATTGCTAACAATGCCATAAAGCCCTATAGAAGAAAAATGATCATTATTTTCAGTTCTGTTTATTTTTAACAATGAGCAAGATTTTTAATGACAAACACACAATTCCAACATGACAAGATATAGCTGATTCTTGTCATTTTTTTTATTTGTTATTTTTTATAGTGTTGTTTATTTTTGTTACTAATTATCATTATGTCCTGTGATTGGCTACAGGCAGAGAACATCATGCACAGGAGTCGAAGTATGGTCCTTGATCGTCAGCGGGAACAGGAACATAGTCCTGGTATGTTTCCTGAAATAACAAAATAACAAAGCCTTGTGGAGGTCTCAACCCAAAGTGATCAATAATTAAGTTTGCAAACACAGGGCATTCCAACCCCCACTTCCCCACCACCTCCATCACCACTCCCCTATCCAGTCTAATCACCTCCCCCCCCCCCGCCCCCCACTCCCAACCCCGCTCAACTCCATCACCACTCCCCTATCTAGTCTAATCACCCCCCCCTCCCACCCCCGCCCACCTCTATCACCACTCCCCTATCCAGTCTAATCACCTTCCCCCCCCCACTCCCACCCCCGCCCACCTCCATCACCACTCCCCCATCCAGTCTAATAACCCCCCCTCCCACCCCCACCCACCTCTATCACCACTCCCCTATCCAGTCTAATCATCCCCCCTCCCACCCCCGCCCACCTCCATCACCACTCCCCTATCCAGTCTAATCAACCCCCCCCTCCCACCTCCATCACCACTCCCCTATCCAGTCTAATCACCCCCCCCCCCTCCCTCCCACCCCCGCCCACCTCCATCACCACTCCCCTATCCAGTCTAATCAACCCCCCCCTCCCACCTCCATCACCACTCCCCTATCCAGTCTAATCAACCCCCCCTCCCACCCCCGCCCACCTCCATCACCACTCCCCTATCCAGTCTAATCACACCCATCCCCCACCCCCTCCCACCCCCGCCCACCTCCATCACCACTCCCCTATCCAGTCTAATCACACCCATCACCCCCCTCCCACCCCTGCCCACCTCCATCACCCCTCCCCTATCCAGTCTAATCAATAAGGAGATGAAAGGTCTCTTGTCAGCCTCCTTAGGTATGTGTTTTTGTTGCCTAAATGCTTTGATTTGTTGACGTAATGTCATAGATATGAAAGGACAACCCAACCCCCTATCTAAACTCTTAGGTTAGACCAGGATATTCACCACTAAAGCATAGATACTGTTTAAATCTGCCCTGTATTTAAGACAAATATTTGTCTCTACAAAGAACAATATTTTTCATTAGCTTCTTGTATGTGACTTGTTATGGTATTTATTTTCTTAAGTATAAATAAAATATCGAGCAGTAGATTATTTGGCAGTGGTTGCTCTAATGTTAGTTATACAGGTAGTTAACGAAAAACTAAAATTGCTGCCGCTGGAAAAACAAGAGAATTAAAGGCAATATTAGCACTGAAAGTATATCAATTTGACCTGTCTCAACAAATATACAGCTGTTAAATGATAAAGAATCAATTTTATTTAATTTTCATTGACCACTAGTTATCTCTAACCAGCTTTTTAACAAATGGGACCAAGTGTTTTACAGAGTTGGAAAGTTGAATCTGTGAAAATTTATGATAGAAAATCAGGTCAATGATGCAAATAAAATCATTTAAAAAATTTAAAATACAGAAATAATTTCCTGAATTTAAACACAGTTTACAGGAATAAAAAAACACTTTTTTTTTCACATAGAAATATAATGTAATGACCTGATTGGAAATCATTTTTATTGAATTTTGATTTGAGACAATGCTTAAAAGTACAACAGTAAAATAATTGATTGTGGTAAAGGAAGTTTGCTGTGGACATTAATGTACAATTTATGTTTTGTCAGTTGAGGTGGACATTAGCAACAATAGATATAACAGACCGGGGAATCGGCAGTCCTTGCCGCCATCTTACTGGGGTACGCAGACTCTGCCCCACCCGAGAGGAAAACGCTACTCTATGGACAATGAAAATGGTGTTGCTGTGGTAACAAAATCAGCAGATGACCTTGACACCCCAGTTTCTTCACAGCCAGGATATCTTGAGACCATGTTCCGAAAAGAACGTGAAGTCTACAAAATCATGCAGAAAGACAATGCCGATTCATCTGAAGATGAGACAGTTAAAACGAGCAGACGGCAAAGTCGTAAAAGTGCAAAAGAATACATTTCCGATGAGCATCATTCATCAGATTCTGATTCAGAGGGAAGCGTTAAAGAAATTGCACTTCCTCTTGTTCGGAGAAAGTCAGAATCTAAAGTACGGTCTGAAAACAGGCCAAGATCAGACTCCAAGGGAAGTAATTCTAGTCATGGTAGTAAGTCAGAAGTTTTAAAGGAACCACCACCCTTGAGCAGAAATAACAGTAGTGACGGAAAAGTATTGACAGAAACGTCTTTTCCGGAATCAAGTACTGAACCTGTGTATCATAATGGTAATGAGGAGGATGCAAGTTCAGAATCTACTATTGAACCCCAAGAAACAGCAGAAAATGATTTGGTTAATGGAGACGAAGAGTCGACAAAATCGACCCTAAATCGACGAAAAATCACCCCAATTCAACAATTTTCTTTTGACAGCTCTCCAGAAAAGCCAGATGGAGTAAGGAGGAGGGCTAAGAGAGATCGACTTCGCCAGTTATATAAACAAGGTATAGATAATTGGGATTTTCACCAGGATTTCAATATCTTGATGTAATTGGACCACAGCACTATATAGTTTTTACTTTTAATAGTGGTGGCATATTCCTAAACATGAACAATCTGAAATACACAGTGTAATTTTTTTTTTTTCAAATTTGTTGTGATAAGCATTAGATTTGCTTTCTTTATTATAGGAGGACGAAGATACACTGTGCAGGGACTACCTCATCGTCATAACGATGAATCATTAGCTGACCTTCGACCCCAGTTCTCACGAGAGTTCACCATAATACCTGATGACCTCATAGCTGTCTACAAAAACATGACAAAGGAGGTAAGTAAAGTGAAATCTCAGGGACACTTAAAACTGACATTCTTCACCTTGGCAAACAAATTTAAAATTGATTACTATGTGGACTGGCATCAATGTAAAGTTAAGCTGATTTTGACTTTTTAAAATTTTTGTGAAATTCTGTGTAAGATAGAATTTTCCATACTAATCAACTGGTGTGGTTCTACAATGCTTATCACAGATGTAAAATAGGGGTAATATCTTTTTCTTTTTTGTAATTTGATTGATTTCAAAATATAACTGTCCACATCTTTTTATTTATTAACAAGATATCCAGACTCTGATCATACAGCATTATGCTTTGATTTTAGAATGTAATCCCCCCTGCTCCCTCCCCCACCATCCCCCAAAAAAAAAACAGCCTGTGTTACTGTTCTTATTTACAAATTCACACAATGCAAAAATGTTTAAAGGAGTTAACAAAACAGCTTACATCTTTTTGGAAATGAAAATGTCACATTAACTTAAAGAATAAAGACTTGTATCATGAGTTATTATCTTGTTGTTTTACAGGAACTCATTCACCTGGTAATCACACACAAAGCCCAGCTTATCCGTAAAGACCAGTATGTCAAGGATATGGAGGACTATATCGATAACATGCTTGTTCGCGTGATGGAGTCCAATCCCCGCCTCCTCCAATGTAAAAACAAATACAAGTAACTTTGTTCTAGTCCAACTTTCAAAATCTGCTGTTCTTGTGAATGGTTATGCTGCATGTATGATATACCTGAATTGTTTTGATGAAATTTAGGGAATTTTTTTCAGCAGTACGAATTTGCGGGGATTCCATTTTAAGGCAAGCAATATCGAATACAGAATTGATACAGCAAAACCAAGTTGCACTGATTTTCAATTTCCCTGTCTCGCAGTTATCTCCCCTATTACAGTATTTATCTTTCATGCATTTGAAATTTTTAGAAAGCAACATAAGTAAAGCACTGGGCTGGTAATTTAAAGAGGTCAATTTGATACTGTTATTATTTGTTTGTATTTTTTTATGAAGTTTTAAGATCCCCAAGTTTTGAACACTTGATCTGCATTTCATATTGAACACTCATCTCCTTTAAATTTTTTGGTGCCAATTATCTTTACAATGTACAGCTCAGCGCCAAATATTTTCCGGGATATATCCGAAAACAATGGCAGCATTACTGAAACAAGCATATCTTGGCTAATGATAAATATATAAAAATTGTCGACTTTAATCGCCTACGGCGGCCTGTCTGCATGTTGACTTTAGTTGCTTACGGCGCCGAAAGGGTTAAAGAAATATTTACTGGTAAGATAAAAAGTTTATATAAGCGAGTTCAGTCGTAATATTTTCTCATCTGATGGGCCTTTTTATTATCTGATCTGTTTGATATTCCTAAGTGTATTGAATTTTTTAAACACTGAGTTCACCATGAATTTTTACTTTCCATATTTATTACATTTATTTTCAAAACTGAAATTGATGTGAAATATATATTGTATATACACCACTAAGATGGTGATTTGAGAGTAGCACATGATGATGCAGTGAGACTTACACACAAACGTAGACATCCAATAGGTTAAAATAGGGGTGAGTGAAGAGAGTTAACTTTATAATTACAATTCTTAGTGGATGGGATCATTGCCAGACATGGACTTAATACTAGATCTTTCTAAGAATAAACAGGATATGTGATCATTATGTAGAAACTGTTAAACTGTATTCAGTGGTTGTGATTTAAATGAGAGGTTGAACAACCTGTGATTTAAATGAGATGAGAGGTTGAATAACCTGTGATTTAAATGAGATGAGAGGTTGAACAACCTGTGATTTATTTTCACACATATATTTTGTGCTACTTTTTGTTAGGAAATCAGTTGCTTAGTTAAAATTTTGTTCATTTTTTTTAACTTAGATTTTTGTTTACCTCAAAACTTGAAAGGTCATATTTTTGTCATAAACAAATGGACACCTTTAGTTAGTTATAAAGTCAAGTGTTGAACGACAGAAAGCGTAATTTTTGTCTCTTAATTAAGACTATTTACTGTTATTCTTGATTTCAAATTGGTCTTGAATCTGTATAAAATCATACACCTGATGACATTTTTGAAAACATGATTATGTTCCTTAGATGATTTAGATATACAAGACAATTGTACTTAAATGTGCCATAAAAGACCATGATATTAGCTAAATAGTTTTTAGTAGTGTAATTTGCTTGAAGATCAAAAGTTTTACAAATGAAGAGAATGTTTTTTGAGACGAAGTTAGAGATAGGTTGTATACCATGTCCTCCAAGGCACTGTACCCATGTAATTCCAAACCATGTACACACCATTTGTTTCCTTAGACAGAGGGGACCAAAGTTACACCCAAAAAACTATAACCTACATTGGACCAAAGATATAATAGGAAAAATAGACAAATTTGCTTCTTATTAGAATTTTCATTTAAACTTTTGCAAATATTTCAGTCAAATTATAGTGCTAGCAATATGTAATAAATGATTATGAACTAGTATATAGATACAGTGGCATTATGCCTCTAGGGACAGAACACATCAGGTTTCAAAATTGCTGTAAAAATAATCAACACATCACCAAAACGATGAGCAGATTTTAATCAATAATAGCACATGTTTGTCTGCCTGCAAATAATTTATATTAATTTGGTCAACTCCAGCTGAAAAGATAGCTTAAATATAGCAAATTGTTAAATTTTCTTGAAATATTATTTTTGCAAGGAATGGACTGATTGGAATCAGTATAAGCTGGTGTAATGCTGAACTTAATTGGATTTAGAGATACATATGATATTATGTCAGATGGGTTTTAAAGTGATCAAATAAGCTGATTGACTGTATAACTTTTCCCACTGAACTCCTAAGGGTATTTTAATCAAACTGCAGTGGTTAATCATCCTAAGTCAAAGCCTAATTGATCAAAGATTGTAAAATATTTTATTAAGTTGTTTTCAAAATTATTGCATAATAATTCATATTTACTTATATAAGCATCAGTGTTGTGTAATTTATATATATATGATATTTATTTACAAATTCTTTCATAATTTAAACACAAACAGATCTGCTTAACTGCAGTGAAAAATGAGTTGATATAGTTGGAATGTTTTTTGATCTGAAATGAAAGATATTAGGTACATGTTTTTGATAATACAACATTGTGAAATGTAAATAGAAGCAGTCAAAGTGGAGTGTGAATTTCTGTATATAAGCTTTTCTACAAGTTACAAATATTCAGGAGATACAAAGTTTGATGATAGAAAAAAAATCATAATTTTGTGTGCTATATGAACTTAATCTACATTTTAACTATTTTACGAAAAATAGTCATCAAAAGTGATGTTTACCTCCTCTTCAGTGTGTTTTTTGTTATTTTAAAGGACTTAATGAAATTTGTTTTGAGTTATACATGCACTGAAGGAGTATGATTTAACCATACACCAGACAGATACTGAATTCATGGTATATTGTTATTATCACAATTTAAAAACTCTAAACTCTAGATTTCTATCACAGGGATTTGACAAGGATGACAAAACACACGGTCTGCATATGTGTGTTCATGATACTTAAAAATTGTAAACAAACTGTGGAGTACGGAATCTGTGCCAAATCTATGTATTACCTGTTGATGTTTGTAGTCAAGTGTTGATGTTAACAATGATCTACTGATTGTTTACAATCATATACTTTATTGGTATTTATGATCTGAATATAAGTTGTCTCACAAAACATTCTACTTACCTTGTCAGAAAGGTTGTGCAAACAGTGTAATGGATCTAACATTCCAGATCAAATAATGGTTTCTTAATTAGAATTGGGTTGTGACTGGTCACTTTTAAAATTCCCAGGACTAAACTTTTGTATAATATATGAAAATGTATATATATATTCAATGTTTGTTTCATTACATTTGATAATTTTATATGTATTTTTAAGAATTTGTTTTGTAAATATTCCTCTGGTCACAAAGATGAGGTATAGACACAATACTCTCAGCTGAGAAGCTTGTCCTAAAACATTTATCAGATGTATATGAGGATATGGAAGAGGCATTAAGGTTTAAAGATGTTGTATAGTATCAGTAGAATCATAGCAAATCATGAAGAATTTTAATGATCTGAATCATATTTTAAGTAAACAATTCAATTCATCTATGCAGAAAAAAATTCTTGGTGTAAAAACCAAGTCATTATTGAATGCAGAACAGATTCCAGCCATTGTACACTTAGATTTTAAAGAATAGAGATCACATACCTGTTTTGTTTTATATTTTTGTTATCTCACAAGATTTTCATTGCCATGTTTTTTATGATGTCTTTTACAACTAAGAAGAGGATTTAAAACATTATTTTAAAGAATGCAGCTTGATTTGATGTTACAACAGATAAACATTTCTGTACACAAAATGTCCTGATGCTGCTTTCAAATATAAACCCTGTAAACTTTATTTATTCTACAACAATTGTGAAACAAGTTATCAAACTTCTACTAATCACTCTTGTTGGCCTTGATGGACACATGGGGTCTTATACTTACTGTGGGAGGAGATTGAAGCACAGGGAAAACCACTTGATCAGCAGGGGGCGTCTTACCTTTTCTTGTTTGTTCATATAAGGTACATGCAATTCAATGCAGGATACATATCAATGAATATGTAACACATTTAGAAGACCTAAATCTGAAAAGCTATACTTTGTACTGTAAAATTGTATGTTTTTTGTGGGCTCCAGTTTTGTGGATTTTCCAAAAAAAAAAACAAAAAAAAAACTATCACATATAATCAATAGATAAATACATGTCTGTGTGGTTATTTTCAACAGTTCACGGACAGTTGATTCCTCGATAAAGAGTTCCTACAAAATCAAAGAAAAATAAAACACCCACGGAAATTCATGATTCTACATTATATACATTTTGATACAAGCCATCTTGTCTCAGTTCCATAAAGTACTTATTTTTCATTTATAAATTTAAACATGCATATTTTCAGTATTATTGCTATGCCACACTCTTTGTAGTTAGTGCATAACCATAATTGTTGTTTCTCAAACGTTTATAGAAAAGAAAGTGATCATTGAGGTAAGTGAATATTTGTTCGAATATAGATATATCACAAAGGATAACTTGATTCAGGACAAATACAAACATTTATCATTGGAGACATATTATAAATCATCATGGTCACTCTCGGTATTGAAGTGAAAGTGTCATTTTATTTATAGAATTAAATGTAAAAAAGATCAGTGATTTATATAAACAATGTTGTAAATATTTAAAGTAATTTAGTGATGCTATTTTTTAAAATAGTTTCTCTTTAAGTATGGTTTTGATATTTTTGTGCTAACTGAAGTTCCTGGATACTATAAAATGCATGTATCACCTTAGTTATGATAAATTCTTTGAAACAAAATGACAATGTACTGAGATTTGGAATTTACTAAAGCAAATCTGTTTACAAAGAAACTTTGTTACTTCTGTCAGTACACAATATACAATTTTTTAAACATTCTTTCCTTTATTTTTACCCCTCATTTGGTTGATATAATCATGTGTCAATCTAGGTCGTCCATTCTTCTTCATGTAACAATATAATGTGTACGTGCCATGTGCTTCAAACCTGTTGTTTTCTGTATATCAGGTTTATGAATTTAAGTGACAGTTAAAAGTTACTCATGAGCAAATGAACATGATTTGAGACTTGTGTACAGGTTTTGTAATTAATCAGATTTCAATCCAGTCAGAAGTAAAAATTCTGTGACGTGTATTGAATTAAAACTAATGGACATGAGATCAATATTGGTACGTTCAGGTACAGTTACCTCTCAGTCAAATCATAATTATTTTGTCTGTTTTATCTGTGAGTCAAATAAGATACTAACTTTTCTATGTCCTTCTTCTGTCAGTGAGTCAAATACCTGTCTTGTATATCGTCTCCTCTAACAGTGAGTGAAAGCATTTTCTAGCTTCTGTATTTCTGTCTCTTCTATTGATGAGTGAATTAAGATTATAACTTTTGTATGTCTATCTCTTCTCTCCTTGAGTCAATAATATTCGGACTTTTGTATATCCGTCTCCACTCTCAGTGAGCTGAATAATATTCTGTCCTCTGTATGTCCACCTTGTCTGTCAGTGAATCAATATTGTCTTTTCTATGTATGTCTTTCGTTGGTCCTTCGATCAGTGCACCAGTACTGAAAACCTACGAGTAGTTGAATGTTGTTGACTTTCGCGTTCTACACAAGAACATTCGTATCGGGAACTTTTAACATTTTGTGCATCATTGTGGCGTCGATTTTTTTAAGCTTTTTTCCCGAATGTGTGCTTAACACTTTGGTTGGGAATACGAATTTCGGAAAGGTTATTGTTGTTACTATGGAAAAACAATGTTTTGTGTGATTGTTATTGATAAGGTGATAAAAATAATGGAATGATTCTGCATTTGAAAAATTAAGTCTTAACATAGCGTGAGTATAGTGGTAAGGTAAGATAAACAATAATGATATTAGATAGACGTTCCAATTATTGTAAACACTGTAGTGGTATTAAAAGACATCCCAGTCTCTGTAAAGTGTTTTCGTGCCAAGATTTGCTACCTGTACACCACCGTTGAAAGTATTTTTAGAACGTGTACCTTTGACCGTTAAGTGATCGGTACGTGACAACTGGCATGTTTCTTTCGATAAATACATGCACTTTCGCTTTGTATGTTATGTACTTTAGGATGACCGTTAGTGTTACGCTTTGGAAATTTTTAAGTAAAGGATAATTTTGGCATTACTCAAAAAAGCTCTTCCATTTGTTGTAAAAATAAGAAAGGAGCTTATTTGGTCCTTTTTCTCTTGGTATGGTTCATAATATGTTCTCGTATAATTTGTATACTGTCGGACTAAATTCTTGCGGTTTCCATGGTAACACGTTTTGGTAACTGACGAACGGAAGTCATTTGGATATCCGTTGAAAATGAAATATAATGAAGCAAAGTGTTAGGACCCCTTGAAAAAATATGTTATTCAAATTTATAGATATTTTCAGTTTTGATTTTCTGTGTAAGCTTTATAGAGAATTAATCACTTCATATTTTACTTACAAACGACATATTAATATTAGCTACTCGTGGTCATCGCAACGTTGTCATCATTTTCACAATGACAGTGTAAATTTTCATATTTCATAGTCATCTTGACAATTTTTTTTACATTTGATAAAAGTTTGTAATATTTTGAGGAGTTAGTTGGTAATGTCTATAAATGTTTGGTGCTACTTAAATAATATGTGTATTATACATGTAGTTCAACACACTGTATTTCACTGTTGATTTATTGGAATAAATGATACACTTTATAATGGTTCAGTAATTAAAGGTGAAAGTAAATGCATCTTATACATGTATATATCTTAAAATCATTTGCCTATGGTTCAGTCCTGCTGAATAATGCGTGTTTTGAAAGTATGCATTATAAATGTAAATTAGTCCTAATGATACTATAAAATCAATATATTTTTGTGAGACTAAATTTTCGCGTCATTTTTAACAGAAATATTTCATGGACTTTTGATTTCACACATATATATATTTTAATAGTTTGCGGACTTAAAAATTCGTGGATTATAAATACACATGCCATCAATGAAAATAAATGTCCAAGAAAATCGATTATTTTACATCATGCGTATAATATCAAATTTAATGGCGCATTGCTCATTCAAATATTACTACGTATGACTTGATTTTAAGTGGTTAAAAGCAGTGTACTACATATGAAGATATGAAGAATTGAAGCGAAAATATTTGATTTTATTACATTGTATTTTCCTTTTTGCATCTTCTCTACAAATGCATTATTGTAAATTACATTTGAAATTCCATTTCGGAGAATGGAAGACGGTTATGGTAATCATTCTCCATCGTTATCAAAGTGCCAAGTTTACAGGAGGTCGGAAGTGTGTACAATGATCAAACACCCATTTCACACTGAGAACTACAGCAAGTCTATTAATCAACTTATATTATATTTATAGAATGATTTAAGTGCATTTTAATTAATTTAGATTTTGCATCTATTTATTGGTGTGGATGTATAATTGTTTATAAAAAAAATATTCCAGTGTAATGAACAATTTATAAATGACATTTGTCATGTTTTGTCTGGGTAATAGTTTATACTGATTATTGCCAGTTAAAAACAAAACCCCAAAATCATGTAAGGCTCAGTTTGTTCCAGGAAATCTATCTTTATCAAAATACATTGTATATTGCATCTAAGATATGTATAAGAGCATAAACATAGTTTCAATTTAAAAGCAAATCTATTTCACATGTACGTTTGAAAGGAGAGGTATTTATTCATGTTTGCCCTTTCTTACATTGTGCAGCCATTAACATTAAATATACAGCATTACAGTGCAGATAATTAAACATGAATAAGGGGCGCTGGATTATTGTGTATCTACTGGAGGATGGGATACATTGGTACATGTCGTTAACTGATAACATTTTTCAATTCCGCATTTTTCATAACAAATAGACATCTGACTTGGTGTATCGCCTAAAGTGTTCCAGGACTAAATACGACGGTGTGATTAAATTAGTCGAAGCGTAAGCTATTTGGTGATGATAGTGATGATATCAACTCATTAATGAAAAGTGGTTTTTATATTGAACACTTTCAAGTTATGATAGAATAAAATACTCGTCTCAAATCATTGCTTCTGTTCTTTTCTTTCATCATAAACAACTTTCTTCAAATTATTGGCTGCCGTCTCGGATGAATCAAAGAGCGTTAATGAAGTTAAAGTTCTCCTTTGTAGAAAATTGACCACTCCAAGTTATGTGTTACGCAGGATATATTTTGAATACACAAAATTTACACGCAGTTTCTACGGTCCACAATTCTTTCCATGCGCCACCCATTAATTATCGAAAAGATAAACGAATATTAATACGTTTTGATATCTACAAATTATATGAAATATATTTCTACATCATATATAAGAATAATGAAATGTATATAAAGTGTACCATACTTTATTTGTTAACAATGACGTAACTATATCTAGCAGTATATAATTAATAAAAAGTGAAATATTTAAAAAATTGATAGTAAAAAAAGTTAAGTATTTTCACGTGTACCCTGCTGTACACATCGATATGAAACATTGACCATCGGATTTAATTTTTTTCTAAGATTGAAGTATCTTACATAATTCGTCTATGATATACATATCGTACTTTGTAAGAAATGCAGTTCATTCGATGTTAAAAGTGACAAAAAATAAAAAAATGTCTATTGGGACGCGATTATAAAACGATCTGATTCACATGAAGCTTTTCACAAATGTGTTAAGGACACTTGACGAACTAAAAAAAATCTAATAAAAATATCTTAAATCAGTTTCATATTCTAGCAAATGACCATAAAAAGTCCTAATTAAGATAGGTTATTGATGTTTACATCCCGGATTGGAGAGATGTCTGACACAGGTCAATTGCTCCCAAAACTCCCCCTATTCCAGCTAGAACACCTCCAGCAATGGAAAGTCCGAATGACCAGCTAAGGTCAAGCAGAGATGAGATTTCTGATGCTTTTGCAGCCCAGATGATAGCAGTCACAATGATACATCCCGCTGAAATAAAAAAGGACATATTCGAATATGCAGTATAATTGAAAATAGGGAATGTCTTTATATCCTCACTTAATATGTTCAGACGAAATATTGCGGCCCATGGACAATGACTTCCACAAATAAATCATCTCTATTGGTTTTAAATAAACTGAATCTTTCTTTCATTCTCTGATATGGTTGTAATTATTTGTTGCATTGACTAGTGAATTAATCAGATAGAGACACCTGACAATGAAGACCATAGAATGAAACTGAAAAACATCAAATATCGCGTACATCCGGGAAAATCATTTACAACAAGAGCCATGTGTGCAAACAGAAGATGTCCACCTATAAATAGTTTGTTTTTCCAATACGTCAAAAATAGAAAAAAAAGAAAAAAAATGAACACGGAATATATGAAAAACGGTAAAATCAATTGTTTGCCTTAGAAAACACGATGTAAATTTTGCCAACGAAATCCTTGATGACGGAAACAAGTTAAAGATCGAACGCGTCTTGAAAAATACAAATAAAAATTCAGGACAGAAGGACAAAGCGCAGGTTGATTACATCAATCCTATGTGATGGCTAAATGTATTGTATGTTAACATGTGTCGTTATTTGTTTTGTTTACTCCACTAGGGATCGAATCTACAAACTCTGGCTTGCTAGTATAACAAAATGTGACATTTCAGTGAGACATTTTCTAACATATGGATATCACGTCGAAGTCTCTTTGTAGATATCAATATTCTAAAATATGTTCCCGGTGTTTCCTTTAATAGTATGTAGATATCAGCATTGTTAAATATTATTCGGCGTTTCGTCTATTTGAAGTTCAAACTTCTGTTTTATAAACACGTTAGACCTCTCTTTGGAAAATGATCTTTTCAAATGCATAATATTTCAGTGGGTCATATAATTGGCATGTACAGGTGTTTCGTCCATATAGACCCCTTGCAGTGACGTCACATTTTAGGCCATGTCACGGATGCGCCGCCATATTGGAGGTATACCACGTGAGTCATCATGGCAAAGGTGAAGGATTCTGTTTTTAAACAAGCGACGCCATGTTATCGCGACTGTCTCGATACTATGGAAAGAACTAGGTACAGTAGTAAACTGAAATTGATTGACGAAAATGATCCATACGAACTGAAAACGTGGTCATCAGACGTGCATTTGTTGCCAAAAATCAGCTACCCTGATATTGTCAGTTATGATTGTTGAAATCAGTCTAAATTTCTTTTCGAACTTGCAGTTTAATGAGTGATTGAGTCACACGCACGCGCACGCACGCACACATTTCATTTACACCCTTACTTAAAGGGATACGGTTACAAGCAAAACCATTTATAATCAAACTGGTATTCGTTGTATCAATGTGTCTTAAGAGGTCTTTTCGAATTATTATTATCAATTGTGTTACTGACCTCCACTGAAGGCTGTCATTGCGGCCAGGATGTAAGCAACTTTGTGTGTATCCTTAGAAAAGACTACGGTACATAACACTTCCAAGATGGCCGCAGCAGCAACAGCTAATACACCAATTATACCAAACGCTTGACATGCTTTAATCCAATCAAGCACTGAAAAATGTAACAAGAAGCAATCCCCTCTGAAATATTTAACTGTCGACATCGTATCGTGTCTTGCATTGAGCGATAGCAATTTGTATAATAAAATAGTTATGCTTCGAAATTTAAACAATAATAATTTCAACAAATTTAAGGGAATGAGGATACCACAAAGAACCAAAATTATGGTGTATATCGATTGGTGAGAAAAAAGATTCATTATATATCGATAAACATAAGACCACATACCAGTCTCGTAGCTTTCACATAGTTTCTCTCCACCTCCTTCCAAGCATGCTTTCCAGAGCCCTGCTGTCGAACTCACGCTTTGTCCATTGGCTGAAGCACTAGCTGAACTCCAATTCGGAGTCGCTAATCCAGCAATGTGAAGTATTAACGCTAAAGGTAATACAACAAGAGCGATTTTTAAGAGAACTGAAGATTCAGAGAAACCCATGATGTTATGTTGTAACTATCTCAAGGCTGATGTCTACCAAATGGGTAGCTGAGTTGTTGTTGTTGTTGTTGGCGTCTCCGTGATTCCTCCCGTCGCGTAGCTGAGCACAGGCTTCTTCAAATATACCAGTAATCTCAGGTACATTATTACACTGGTAAGTGTCTGATTGGTTAAATCAAATATCACGCATGCCCATATTTGTAATTTGCGCTCAAGGTGTGTTGTTTACCTTCGATACCAAAGTGACATTACTTTGCTTTCTGAAATGAAAAACGAAGAAATTATTGGAAACGACGTTACTTTCACTTTCGAGTCAGGTAAACATTGTTGTTATGGTTGCAAATTTTTATAAACTTACGTATGAGAAATCAAATAGTAGTTTTTGAGAAATGATTCGCCATGGGAAATGCTATGATTTTCAGAAAGTTTAATATCACGCATGCCCATATTTGTAATTTGCGCTCAAGGTGTGTTGTTTACCTTCGATACCAAAGTGACATTACTTTGCTTTCTGAAATGAAAAACGAAGAAATTATTGGAAACGACGTTACTTTCACTTTCGAGTCAGGTAAACATTGTTGTTATGGTTGCAAATTTTTATAAACTTACGTATGAGAAATCAAATAGTAGTTTTTGAGAAATGATTCGCCATGGGAAATGCTATGATTTTCAGAAAGTTTAATATCACGCATGCCCATATTTGTAATTTGCGCTCAAGGTGTGTTGTTTACCTTCGATACCAAAGTGACATTACTTTGCTTTCTGAAATGAAAAACGAAGAAATTATTGGAAACGACGTTACTTTCACTTTCGAGTCAGGTAAACATTGTTGTTATGGTTGCAAATTTTTATAAACTTACGTATGAGAAATCAAATAGTAGTTTTTGAGAAATGATTCGCCATGGGAAATGCTATGATTTTCAGAAAGTTTAATAGAGACCAAACAGACGATTCTTATTCAGACTGGTAGCATTGAATATAGTTTCTGAGGGAAATTGAACAAAAAACTTTCAATGTTGGCGATCAAAAATTATTTTTCTTTTCTTTACTTTATATCAAAAGTCAGTTAGCCAGTGGCAATTCAACCAAACAGCAGAGTACCATTACAGTTGCACGTCTGGATATTGTACAAAACCTATAATGCTGGAGATCATAAAATCAATATTTACACACACACACATATAGATAAATTTATTTGTGTTAGCACGGTAACCCAGCTCAGAGACTGCAGCTTGTTATTTGTTGTACATGTCTTATAAACAAAAAACAACAACAGTGAAAAGAAATGTTGTCAAATGGTCATTTATTAAATGACAGGAACATTTCAAATACAACCATAATATCAATCACTGTTGTTATATAATATATAGATCTGAATGACATTAACTTCAGTCTATATGTACAACAAAAAGATGGGGTACAAATTATCGGCATACAAATATAAGTTTGAATTAAAAAAAAAAAGAAAAGAAAAAACATGGATATATAAGCTGGCTCAAGACAAAATGTGGAAGTGTGGTATGGGTGGGACTTCGAAAGATATTAAACGTAATCACAGCAGCAGACTGAGGAGTGATGAAGATATGACGCGGTCAAAATCACGAAGAGGTGCGCGCCTCGCTGATTGGTCAATCCAGGCCCTGACCGCCTAGCATCACGGCTACTGCCGCTGGTCACGTGAACAGCCCCTCTGACTGGTCAAGCTAAAACCGTGACCGCATAGCGAGTTGCCCTACACGGCCCTCTTAGCTAACACGTGCGCACACATAACATCCAAATAACAAGAGATACAAACTACATAGGGTAACAGATGGTCACCAGGTGGTCAGAGTTCAAGATCTTATTCCAAATAACAAAATCATGCAAGAGCCAACTTACATAACATTATAATGTGAAGAACATCTGTAGGATTATGACAATTATACATATACATGAATGTTACCCCGCTATGTTGTACTATCCTTATGTTATACAAAAGACCAGCAACAACCGTTCTCAAGTACAAATGTTGAGTATTAACACAAGTTACAACAATGATAACATGTATGGCCTGAGTATCGAGCTTAACAAGTTACTCCTTCCACGGCCACACCAGGACTGACTCTATTTGCTGTGATCTTACAGTTTATCCTAAAGCAATTATAATCTAATTCTGATAGGGAAAGTGTCTTCTACTGATCTACAATTAAACCGTGACCAGTTAATGTCTCCATGGTGGAGAGCATGTCCAGCCAATGTTTCACGGCATGATTCTGACACTAAGGTGACCGCAATTAAACTATCTGTCTGATAAGCCAGCCAGTCACATTAAGATTTAACACAAATTATGTTCTACACTTGAGTGACAAATTTCACTATTAACAATGAATATATAAGTAACCATCTAACACAAATGTATTTATTTCATGAAATAAATTTTATATAGTTGTCTACCTAGGAATAACACTAAAACGCATGTGTCACGTGTTGTTAATGCACGAAGTATGATATACACGATTATTCTTTGTCATGACATAACATCACAGGAAAGTCATCAGATGGGTAACGACTAACCTGAACATGAATCCAGTATGTTTATTGGTGTAGTCTATGTTGTCCGAACTTCCATTTCACAACAAGGTCCTCAGGCGTAATAAAGAGGAAATGTATAAAAATCAAACAATAAATAAAGAAAGTAATCCTGACCAGGTGCTTCATTAAAACATTGCATATCGTTGTACTACTTAAACGGACAGGTATTCTTCTGCAATATTCTTAAATCAGTTCATACATTGATAACGTGTTCTCTTCCTAAAATCTCTGATCTGAAAAAATATGAAAATAGCAAAGTTATCTCCTCTCCATACCTCTGATAAATATAAGGCTTTTCAAAACAACCTTTTCAACAAATACCACCTTTGTAACACAATGACTAAACACAGTGTTTACTTGGGTTGACCGAAACGTTTATTTCATCGTATAGTGGTTTTCCATAGTTAGTACTTCGTAACACTACTGGTGCTTAACAATACAACCAGGTAGTACAAGTTCTCCAGTCTTCCCATGCAGTTAAAACGAAAGAGTTCGAAAAGTTGAAATAAAGTCTACAGTTAACAAGTTTTAGGTTCCATTGGCCGAATATGAGAAATGAGGAGAGAGAGTAACACTGGTGATGTTCTCTGGCCAGTCGTTCTCCCCAAGTCTGTTAGCAACAGTGCAAGCCCCTATTTTATAGACAACGATCGCGTTGCCAAGCATGTGAAATGGTCAAGTGTTCCTAACCCTACCAGAATTAGCCCAAATTTTGTAATACTCCGTGCTGATCTCACAATTTGAAGTTTCATACGTATTCAATGACGTAGGTCCAGTTCTATAAACTGACCATAAATGCTTGAATTATGTATTTAACGTGAGACCTTAAGTACTTATCTAATTCCTTGACCGATAAACGGTTTGATAGCTCTGCACTAAATATCATCAATTATATAAAATATTATTAATTAACTCTGATTGGTTATTAACTGCATAATTATTAATCGGATCTTATCTTGTTACAATGGGTAGCTGTGAAAGCTAAAAAACTGGAATACGGGACACAAGATAGACCCTTCCCGATATATTCCTTAGGTCAATGCCTGTCTCAAGCTTTGAACTTTTGACCTCAGAGATAAAGGCGCTGGAAAACGGAAATAACTAGGACGTTCGCTTGCTCCTGATACCTAATGTATACAATGAAGTATTCAATAGCTATATAAACCCAAACTTGCAGGATTCATCAGTGAAAAACAACACTTTTTTTCAATGTGACATTTCTCTATATTTCACCGGCAAAAATATAATAAAATATTATCTCCCCTAGAGAAGATAAAGATACAGCATGTATCAAGTCATCTTAATCAACACATGCATGATAAGGAGTGCGAAATGTTGAAAATGTTTTATAGGGCAAAGATATGTTTGTTGGACAAATGGATCAGACTAGTTAGGGTATGTCATTGGTCTTATCGGTAACGTCTTGATATGGTTCTAAAGATACCTAGAGCCTATCATAGGAGTCTTTTGATAGCACTGGCATTTTGATTTGACCAAGAATGTATTGAGTACATTGGTGAAGCTTCATATATATATAGTACAAGGCCAACGTTAAAACTATTGGCAAATAGACACTTTGACATCTCTTCCACCGCCACGAACACGTGAAGCTACACTTGGATAACAGACTAAGATACATTCAGACATGAAAACCCGGTATTAAAGCACTATCAAGCAATTCACCGCTATTTGTTTTACTGTTACATTACAATAATATCAATTTCCTATTTTAATGTTATAATGTCTTTTTTACCTACGGCACATCAAATATAATGCAATTCATAGTACAACTAGTAAATGCTTCAAATACTGTTTTGTAAAATCGATATAAACTAAATACGAATACTTTCAGATGTGATGAGAAAGATTAATTGTATAAAATAAACATATCTTAAAATATTGAACTAATAATATATATATATATATATATGATCAATAAAGTAATAACGACAGTACGTACAAGTGAATTGTCAAATTTTCGAGGCAATCTGAACCTTTAGCAAGTCACAATATTACTTGAATTACATCACATACAATTGACATAAAACGAATACAAAGTTGTAAAGTTAAATCGAAAGCGGTGGTGTAAATTTAGGTGTCTCTATAATCCCTTCGGCTGATATTTCATAATAAAATTTTGTCTACAATCTCTTTTTGAAATTTCAATACGAAATTCTTTTTTTAATCATGTGAAATCTTCATTGTGACCTTAACAAAAGAGAGGAACAAACATAAAGTCAGAATATATCAGATTTTGATAAAAACCACATTTTTATCTTAAGAAAAATGGAGGTAAGGCTTTGTCTGTTTATCCGTCTTTGTTCTGATTAGCTCACGACATAATAAACCAATTAAGACAGTATGTGTAACAAAATAAGGGTAAAAATTTCATAACCAGTAATTGTTATAATTGATTGTGTATTTGTATT